CCGTTGTCCTTTATTGTGGTTCGTACAACTTTGCCCGCACGGCGTCTCGCTCAGAGTCTCCTCCGTCTCCCGCTCGGCAGCCCCACTGCTGCCGTCGCTCCTGCAGACTTGCTGCTGGCTCCCTATGCAGCCCCGCTGCTGGCTCTCCGCCTCCTCCATGCCCGGACACCGCTGGCCAACGGTGCCGAGTCCCGACCTGTGGCGATCACGCCACTTTCCACCTCCTGCCCTGCGTGGCCTCCTCCTGTCTTTATTCCCACACTCTCCTCCAGCCCTTCCGGTTCCTGCCCTTAAAAGCTCTCCTCTCTCCCCACGTGACCCAACTCCTCCCCCCTGTTACGTCATATCCGCGAGGCCGTTTATGCTCGCATTACATAGGTAAAAAATGAAATTAATAAAAATAAAACAATAAAAATCACGACGTTTCGGAGGCGACACAAGTCTCCGTCATCAGGTGGGACCGTCACAGCCAGATTTGCTGCATCAAGTGAGGCAAGGATTCAAGATGTAAGCCCTTAAAAGCAAGTTGAGGGGGCAGGAGAGGGGGGGGGGGCTCATCAGAATGTGGTAGCCAATGAATGGGAAGGAGGGGGGCGGGGCTAAAAGAAGGCACGAAGTGCTACGTAGAACGTATCGGGAGGGGGGCAGGGCCAAAAGGATGCACGAAGTGGTACGCGAGAGTCGGCGACGTGGAAGTGGTTGTGCGCAAGTAACTAAGCGTATGAATCCTTGCAGTCATGAAAGCTTCAAATCTGGAATTAATACCCTCTACGGGGAGGAATTTCACCTATCTGTTAGAATTTTTAACAAACAACGAGACAAGAAGTCACAGCTTCTCGAGACGCTGGCCTTCCTCAAGAGATGCCGCGATAACAAGGTAATACCCATCGCTTTCACACTCACATCTGCTGCTGTGTCCTCACCGAACTCTAAACAGATTTTACTTAAAGCTAGCCTATCACTAATCTCGGAGAGAATAAGGTTACTCCGAGTTGAACTCGATAATTTAGACAAGACTCTCTTACAAACACATTTAATGTTAACACAAAAAAGTCCCCTTCTGATTGGAACCACGTTGACAACATGACCTCTGCTTCTGCTGACTCACTGTCAACCAAATGCAAAGCCAACCTGATTTCTAAATTCAACCTCCTAACAAGAAATCAGAGCCACAAATCACAAAGCTGGATGTCAACAAGACTGTTATTAATCAGAGTAACATACCAATTTCTGACAATCTGAAAACGGTACTGGCCAAAGAACTAAATTTCGCTGTCACCCCTAAATATATACCAGTAGATGATGTCATTTCTCAGGTTGATGTTGCCCTCAGAGGCATAGGACACATCCATGCGGATGTAGCAAGAGCTGAAATAGCCACGATTCTTAAGAATGCTAAGAAACCCACTAGTAACATTAGCAAAAACGAACGCTCTGAACTCGCGAACTTAAAAAAGAGAGATGATATAGTCATCCTCTCGGCAGACAAGGGCAATGCCACGGTCATCATGGATAAAGAATCATACAACAAAATCCTGGACCTACTTAATGATGGTTGTTACTCCAAAATTAAAAGCGATCCTACTAACAGCCTAACGACAAAAACCAACAGTATCATCACTAGTTCGACTTCCCTAATCGAACCAACTAAACGTCCCTCTCTAAAACCCTCGGCTGCTAGACCTCCCAGACTCTATGGTCTTCCCAAGATCCATAAAGAAGGCACCCCGCTACGACCCATCGTGTCAACGATTAACTCCCCTACCTACAAACTAGCCCGTTTTCTATCAGATACTCTACTTCCCTTCACAGGCAAGACCTCTTCGGCAGTACTCAACTCAACCCAACTAGTCTATTTGGTCAAGGACATGGCATTATCTCCTGATGATATCCTCGTCAGTTTTGATGTGGTATCTCTGTTTACCAAAGTTCCAGTGCCTGACACCCTAACAATAATTGAGGACTTGGTCCAACATGGATTGAATTCGGATGTACCTGCGCTGGTTAGGCATTGCCTCACCAACACTTATTTTACCTGGAATGGCACCTTCTACAAACTGAATGAGGGTACCCCTATGGGCTCCCCCTTGTCACCAGTGATAGCCAACATGTTCATGGAAAAGTTTGAATCAGACGCCATCCAGACATCCACCCTGCGTCCTTCCCTGTGGAAGAGGTATGTGGATGACACTTTTGTCATTTGGCCACACGGCCTCCCAGCATTGAACCACTTCTTGGACCACATCAACTCCAGACATCCATCCATCGGATTCACCATGGAAGTGGAGAAAGATGGTAAACTACCATTCTTGGATATTCTGTTTGAGAGGAGACCTGATGGATCCTTGGGACATTCTGTCTACAGGAAAGCCACCCACACAGATTCCTACTTGAAACCAGATTCCCACCACCACCCATCTCAAAAGAATTCTCTCATCAAAACGCTATACCACAGAGCTCATGGCATTTCTGACCAACACCACCTGGCCAGTGAATTGAGACATGTACATCGGGCCCTCAGGATGAACGGATACTCTGAACGCACCATCCGCCAAGCTGTTTCTCCTACCATACAGAAACAGCCACTTGAAACTCTGATCAAAACTATCACGTTACCATACATAGCAGGCGTGACCAAAAAGATCTCCAAAATTCTGAACAAACATAAGATCCAGGTCCGATTCAGTACAGTACATAAAATCCGTGATCTGGTTCCATCTGTGAAGGATGTCATCTCTGACTTGCAATACCCTGGAGTCTATATACTGAGTTGCAGCTGTGGTGACTGTTACATTGGGGAAACGAAACGTCATGTCTCTGATCGTGTCCGCGAGCACAAGTCAGATCTGAAACACGGCAAAATTGAGTCTTCCGCCGTTGCCGATCATTGCTACAACGCGGTGGGCTCTCATGAGATTGTTTTCTCCGAGACTAAGGTGCTCTGCAAGCCCTCTGGCTACCATCAAAGGTTTGTATACGAAGCCATTCAGATATACAAACACAGACATAATTTCAACCGTGATGATGGGTACAAACTTAGTAATCATTGGAAAGATGTTATCAACCATGCAAAAAAGACTTAATTACACATTTTGGGACCATCTTATCTGACAGGCACTATTTTACTTTACTTTACCGAGTGTTAACATCCCCAGTGTTTAACAGTACTCTCTTTATTGTTCAGCCAACACTGGTATAAACATGGGCTTTTTCGTTCTTTTCTATCATGTGTATCAACAGGTGCTTGTACATACACATGTCCACGTACACTTGCACCCCATACTCTCTTTTGGCCCCCCCTCCCCCTCTCCGTCCAATACGTTAGCATGTGCAACAATAGTTACTTGTGCACAACCACTTCCACGTTGCCGACTCTCGCGTACCACTTCGTGCATCCTTTTGGCCCCGCCCCCCTCCCCCTCCCGATACGTTCTACGTAGCACTTTGTGCCTTCTTTTAGCCCCGCCCCCCTCCCTCCCGATACGTTCCATTCAATGGCTACCACATTCTGATGAGCCCCCCCCCTCCTCCCCCCTCAACTTGCTTTTAAGGGCTTACATCTTGAATCCTTGCCTCACTTGATGCAGCAAATCTGGCTGTGACGGTCCCACCTGATGACGGAGACTTGTGTCGCCTCCGAAACGTCGTGATTTTTATTGTTTTATTTTTATTAATTTCATTTTTTACCTACGTGACTTTACCGAAAGAACTAAGAGTATCGTCACGATTGGTTGGATTTGATTCGAGAAGCAATTATTGTTTTTATATTTTGATGCACTGTACTGCCTCTAGTGGCTGCAATACATTTAAATAATAATACTGGTAGGAACCCACTGGTTCCACCAGCCCACAGGGGATTATTGTGTCCGTGCATCCGTCGTGCAGGGAGGGGCTGGGTGGGGAGGGGCTGGGTGGGGAGGGTGGGGCTGGGTGGGGAAGGGAGGGTGGGGAGGGGCTGGGTGGGGAGGGGCTGGGTGGGGAGGGTGGGGAGGGGCTGGGTGGGCAGGGTGGGGCTGGGTGGGGGGTGGGAGGGGGGGGGGGCTGGGTGGGGAGGGGCTGGTCCCCCCGTGGTGCCCTTATAAAACTCAACGTTTAACCTACTCACGCCGGCTTGTGCCCGTCCTCACAGTCGGGCATATTTGCGGAATACACCACGCTGCCGTTGACCCTGGCCATTGACCGAGCAACCCAACGTTCCTACCAGCTCCCTACGCAGGAATGTGTTTTATCACACGCATGATTTCATTTATCATGAGCATCATATGAATTAAGTAATTAATCGTTTCACCATAATCATTAAGGGTGCCCTATTGGATAGGCCAGCATGACCAATATTAAAACTTACTTGAGCCATAAGACTAGTGTAGTAACATAGCCATTGGTGGCTTAGGTATGTGCAGTATATTAGACTGTAAAGTGCAGAAAGTTGTCCTGGGTATAACGCAAAACTGTATCTTGTGATGGCATCACCTAAAACACACTGTTGGAGAAGGCAACGGGAAACCAGCTCAATTGCCATGCCATTCCATCACCTTGCGGAACCCGGTCTGCATTAAGTGTGACAAGTCTATGACAGCACGGGACAGATCCACAATGAAAATTCAACGGAAATAAAGGTGGGCAACAGTGGCATGGGCAAGCTCCTGGTAGATATAGACAGCTGCAGTTAGCCCAAGGGAACTCCTCTTGTCGGTGATCCTGTCGTCCACATCCCCTCATGCTGGACGAGTTCTCAATGTAGCGCGTACAGTGAAAAGAGCCGTGCAGACACGACTGGGTGATGGACGCTCTGCAATCTACTAAGTGCGCGTATACACTCGCAACATGGTAAGGAATATGCAAATGTTTAAACAAAGTTACACGTAAATAACACAAAGTTAAGGCAGGTAGGTGGGCGTGGGGGACTGCTGATTGTTCATGCGTGCTAGGCCACATTCACTCATGCAGGCTGCAGTGATGCGTGTCGTGCTTCCCTCTCCCTGTGGTGCAAACACGCTTACCTCCATTTGTGCTGAAATAATTTGTGTCTACAAACAAAAGTAACAGATCGTAACTTAACTCGCAATGACAAACACAACATAGTGTCACAGTTAACCACAATGTGCAAGGAGCATGTTAAATCTCATTACAAAATACGTTGAAAGCTACTTTCAAATGTTGAATGTATACAAAGATAATATCACTGCACTTTATCGTGCTAATGTTTTGTTTACAAGATACAGTTATAAAAAGCAACGCCTGAGCTACTGGGAAAGTTGTGATGTTGCGACTCGAATGGTGAAAGAAAGCGTGGGTGTTCCCTGTCCCACCAACAAGACCCTATCGAGGTTGGGTCAACGCATATTGTGGCCGGCTGCTCCACCACCACCACCATATTACCGTCTAACTGGGACCAACAACGTAAATTCCTGCGAGGCACACAGGAACACTCACCAGACGGGGAGGCTCCTCCAGGGTTTCACAGAGAGCGGCCGTCTGGAAGAAAACACCACGCACATTCACCCTCGGCTGTTCACCTCACACATCACTGCACCTGATTTAAAGCCAGCGCATAGCTCAGTTGAAGCGGGGAATCATGTTCAATGTAAAAATGTTAGGATTTTTCATCATTACCATGCACTGCTGGATGAAGGTCTCCGCCAGCTGTCACCATCTCTCTCGATCTCACAATGAAACAATCCATCTATCTCCTCCACGCGAGCTGATCTCAACACTCCATCTCAACAGAGGACATCCTGTCGGCATGTTCCATCCTTTGGTTGCCACTCCATTATTAGTCTCAATCACCGGCAATCATTCCTTTTTGTGACGTGTCCTCCCCAAACCCACTTAGTTTTCTGAAAGATGTATTTGATGTCTCTCACTTGCGTGTTTTCCCTGAGCCATGTGTTCCGCTATTTGTCTCTCAATGATACAGTATATCTATCCGATTGCTCAGTTAGCCTGTTGAATATGATTTTCGTTTTGCCATTTATCTTGAGGCTTTGCAGCCTTGTCTCTGTTAGGTTCTTGATAAAGAACACTGCTCTTTCACTCCACAATTTTAATAAAAACATTGCACTGACATAGGTTACAGGACTATTAAAAGTATCTTTATTCACTGAAACAGCTCCGGAATGTATGTTTATGATTGTCTATTGAACACGCAAGTCTCATTACACACTGGACTCGACGAGTCTCGTCGTGCATGGCTTCTACTGCTCCTGCTGTGTGTGCTTTGTTGATTTTCGTGTGAAGGGTGAATTATGAATAACAAACACCCAGATTCACTCCCATTGCTCACGCTGATTCAGTCCTCTTCACCTCCATACCTTAGCAACAGCGTCCTTCAAGGCTCTGTCCTCTGACACACCAGCCAGGTTCTGAAAGAAAACAGTAATGTGTATTAACAACTTAGTGTGTAAAACCAAAAATAGATTAGCCATACCATTTCAAAAGAAGGAGCCACTACATTGATATTGCAAGCAGAGAGTCACAAAATACAAAGCAGAAGTATCAGGTAGAGCTATATGCTAGCCCCAAGGCTATTCACAGCAACATTTGATATTTGTGAAATATAGATTGGAGCAATAACATAAAAAGAGACTGTTATCTGTCTCCAATGTCATGATTTTTTCACGGTAGTAAATAATATGGCTGAAGTTCGAGAAGAAAACTATTTCACGGAAAGGTTACGGAATAAGGAGGGGCAGTGCCATGCCTAAAACTGTTTTTGGTGTTTAAAAATAATACCGGCAGCTGGCACGTCCTTTGGACATGACCCTCCCTCCCTCACTCCAGCCAGCCAACCAGCGAGCAAAACTTTCTTCTAATTTCTTATGATATTTCACTGAATACAAATAATTGTTTAAATGGCTATATATAAAAACTATTTAAACCAAGTGGATCTATGAAGTGATTTTCTTAATTCCTTATGGCATTCAAATGGTATCCGTTAAAAAAAGATACGTTAATATGGAGCGCCCGGCTCACACAGGGACAGCCCCTCCCACATGACGCATTTTTTAAAAAAGAAAACACATTCCTGCGGAGGGAGCTGGTAGTAACGTTGGGTTGCTCGGTCAATGGCCAGGGTCAACGGCGGCGTGGTGTATTCCGCAAATATGCCCGACTGTGAGGGCGGGCACAAGCCGGCGTGAGTAGGTTAAACGTTGATACAGGTAGGAACAACAGGTTCCACACTGCCCACCAGGGATTATTTGTATGTCGTGCATTGGAATGCAGCCCACCCATGCAACCCCCCCACCGACCGCCGAGCAGGGCCACGATTGGTTGAGGATGTCGGGGAGGGTGGGGGGAAGGTAAACACGCCCAATCATCCAATTCCCCCCCCAAACGCCGAGCGGGCCGCCATTGGTAGAGGTGGGGTGTAAACACGCCCACTCATGCAATCCCCTCCCCACCGAAAAATGCCGCGATTATTTGACGATGTCGGGGAGGGTGGGGGAAAAGGGTAAATATGCCGACTCATCCAACTGCCCCCCCCCCTTGAACGCCGCGTTGAGTGTGTGTGTGAGTCTGAGAGTGTGAGGGTGAGTGTATGTGTGTGCGAGTCTGAGAGTGAGTGTGTGTGTGAGTCTGAGAGTGTGAGAGTGAGTGTGTGTGTGAGTCTGAGAGTGTGAGAGTGAGTGTATGTGTGTGCGAGTGTGAGGGTGTGTGTGAGTCTGAGAGTGTGAGCGTGAGTGTATCTGTGTGCGAGTCTGAGTGTGAGTGAGTGTGTGTGTGAGTCTGAGAGTGTGAGAATGAGTGTATGTGTGTGTGAGTCTGAGAGTGTGTGTGTGAGTCTGAGAGTGAGTGTATGTGTGTGTGAGTCTGAGAGTGTGAGGGTGTGTGTGAGTCTGAGAGTGTGAGCGTGAGTGTATGTGTGTGTGAGTCTGAGACTGTGAGAGTGTATGTGTGAGTGTGTGTGAGAGTGAGTGTGTGTGTGAGTCTGAGAGTGTGAGCGTGAGTGTCTGAGAGTGAGTGTGTGTGTGTGAGTCTGAGAGTGTGAGAGTGAGTGTGTGTGTCTGAGAGTGCGAGCGTGAGTGTATCTGTGTGTGAGTCTGAGAGTGAGTGTGTGTGTGTGAGTCTGAGAGTGAGTGTGTGTGTGAGTCTGAGAGTATGAGAGTGAGTGTATGTGTGTGTGAGTCTGAGAGTGTGAGAGTGTATGTGTGTGTGAGTCTGAGAGTGTGAGAGTGAGTGCAATGTGTTGTCTGAGAGTGTGAGAGTGAGTGTAATGTGTGTGTGTCTGAGAGTGTGAGAGTGAGTGTAATGTGTGTGTGTCTGAGTGTGAGATTGAGTGTATGTGTGTGTGAGTCTGAGAGTGTGAGCGTGAGTGTATCTGTGTGCGAGTGAGAGTGTGAGAGTGAGTGTGTGTGAGTCTGAGAGTGTGAGAGTGAGTGTATGTGTGTGTGAGTCTGAGAGTGTGTGTGTGAGTCTGTGAGTCTGAGAGTGTGAGAGTGAGTGTATGTGTGTGTGAGTCTGAGAGTGTGAGAGTGAGTGTATGTGTGTGTGAGTCTGAGAGTGTGAGAGTGAGTGTATGTGTGTGTGAGTCTGAGAGTGTGAGAGTGAGTGTATGTGTGTGTGAGTCTGAGAGTGTGAGGGTGAGTGTAATGTGTGTGTGTCTGAGAGTGTGAGAGTGAGTGTATGTGTGTGTGAGTCTGAGAGTGTGTGTGTGTGAGCCTGAGAGTGTGTGTGAGTCTGAGAGTGTGAGATTGTGTGTGAGTCTGAGAGTGTGTGTATGAGTCTGAGAGTGTGAGGGTGAGCGTATGTGTGTGTGAGTCTGAGAGTGAGCGTGAGTGTATCTGTGTGCGAGTCTGAGTGTGAGAGTGAGTGTGTGTGTGAGTCTGAGAGTGTGAGAGTGAGTGTATGTGTGTGTGAGTCTGAGAGTGTGTGTGTGAGTCTGAGAGTGAGTGTATGTGTGTGTGAGTCTTGAGAGTGAGTGTATATGTGTGTGAGTCTGAGATGTGAGTGTGTGTGAGTCTGAGAGTGAGTGTATGTGTGTGTGAGTCTGAGAGTGTGTGTGTGAGTCTGAGAGTGTGAGAGTGAGTGTATGTGTGTGTGAGTCTGAGAGTGTGAGAGTGAGTGTATGTGTGTGTGAGTCTGAGAGTGAGTGTATGTGTGTGTGAGTCTGAGAGTGTGAGAGTGAGTGTATGTGTGTGTGAGTCTGAGAGTGTGAGAGTGAGTGTATGTGTGTGCGAGTGTGAGGGTGTGTGTGAGTCTGAGAGTGTGAGCGTGAGTGTATCTGTGTGCGAGTCTGAGTGTGAGTGAGTGTGTGTGTGAGTCTGAGAGTGTGAGAATGAGTGTATGTGTGTGTGAGTCTGAGAGTGTGTGTGTGAGTCTGAGAGTGAGTGTATGTGTGTGTGAGTCTGAGAGTGTGAGGGTGTGTGTGAGTCTGAGAGTGTGAGCGTGAGTGTATGTGTGTGTGAGTCTGAGACTGTGAGAGTGTATGTGTGAGTGTGTGTGAGAGTGAGTGTGTGTGTGAGTCTGAGAGTGTGAGCGTGAGTGTCTGAGAGTGAGTGTGTGTGTGTGAGTCTGAGAGTGTGAGAGTGAGTGTGTGTGTCTGAGAGTGCGAGCGTGAGTGTATCTGTGTGTGAGTCTGAGAGTGAGTGTGTGTGTGAGTCTGAGAGTGAGTGTGTGTGTGAGTCTGAGAGTATGAGAGTGAGTGTATGTGTGTGTGAGTCTGAGAGTGTGAGAGTGTATGTGTGTGTGAGTCTGAGAGTGTGTGAGTGAGTGCAATGTGTTGTTGTCTGAGAGTGTGAGAGTGAGTGTAATGTGTGTGTGTCTGAGAGTGTGAGAGTGAGTGTAATGTGTGTGTGTCTGAGTGTGAGATTGAGTGTATGTGTGTGTGAGTCTGAGAGTGTGAGCGTGAGTGTATCTGTGTGCGAGTGAGAGTGTGAGAGTGAGTGTGTGTGAGTCTGAGAGTGTGAGAGTGAGTGTATGTGTGTGTGAGTCTGAGAGTGTGTGTGTGAGTCTGTGAGTCTGAGAGTGTGAGAGTGAGTGTATGTGTGTGTGAGTCTGAGAGTGTGAGAGTGAGTGTATGTGTGTGTGAGTCTGAGAGTGTGAGAGTGAGTGTATGTGTGTGTGAGTCTGAGAGTGTGAGAGTGAGTGTATGTGTGTGTGAGTCTGAGAGTGTGAGGGTGAGTGTAATGTGTGTGTGTCTGAGAGTGTGAGAGTGAGTGTATGTGTGTGTGAGTCTGAGAGTGTGTGTGTGTGAGCCTGAGAGTGTGTGTGAGTCTGAGAGTGTGAGATTGTGTGTGAGTCTGAGAGTGTGTGTATGAGTCTGAGAGTGTGAGGGTGAGCGTATGTGTGTGTGAGTCTGAGAGTGTGAGCGTGAGTGTATCTGTGTGCGAGTCTGAGTGTGAGAGTGAGTGTGTGTGTGTGTGAGTCTGAGAGTGTGAGAGTGAGTGTATGTGTGTGTGAGTCTGAGAGTGTGTGTGTGAGTCTGAGAGTGAGTGTATGTGTGTGTGAGTCTGAGAGTGAGTGTATATGTGTGTGAGTCTGAGATGTGAGTGTGTGTGAGTCTGAGAGTGAGTGTATGTGTGTGTGAGTCTGAGAGTGTGTGTGTGAGTCTGAGAGTGTGAGAGTGAGTGTATGTGTGTGTGAGTCTGAGAGTGTGAGAGTGAGTGTATGTGTGTGTGAGTCTGAGAGTGAGTGTATGTGTGTGTGAGTCTGAGAGTGTGAGAGTGAGTGTATGTGTGTGTGAGTCTGAGAGTGTGTGTGTGAGTCTGAGAGTGAGTGTATGTGTGTGTGAGTCTGAGGGTGTGAGAGTGTGTGTGAGTCTGAGAGTGTGAGCGTGAGTGTATGTGTGTGTGAGTCTGAGACTGTGAGAGTGTATGTATGAGTGTGTGTGAGAGTGAGTGTGTGTGTGAGTCTGAGAGTGTGAGCGTGAGTGTCTGAGAGTGAGTGTGTGTGTGTGAGTCTGAGAGTGTGAGAGTGAGTGTGTGTGTCTGAGAGTGTGAGCGTGAGTGTATCTGTGTGTGAGTCTGAGAGTGAGTGTGTGTGTGAGTCTGAGAGTGAGTGTGTGTGTGAGTCTGAGAGTGTGAGAGTGAGTGTATGTGTGTGTGAGTCTGAGAGTGTGAGAGTGTAATGTGTGTGTGTCTGAGAGTGTGAGAGTGAGTGTAATGTGTGTGTGTCTGAGTGTGAGATTGAGTGTATGTGTGTGTGAGTCTGAGAGTGTGAGCGTGAGTGTATCTGTGTGGGAGTGAGAGTGTGAGAGTGAGTGTGTGTGAGTCTGAGAGTGTGAGAGTGAGTGTATGTGTGTGTGAGTCTGAGAGTGTGTGTGTGAGTCTGTGAGTCTGAGAGTGTGAGACTGAGTGTATGTGTGTGTGAGTCTGAGAGTGTGAGAGTGAGTGTATGTGTGTGTGAGTCTGAGAGTGTGAGA